TATATGTATGTGTTGGAATTCATTTGCAAATCTTTTAACTTTATGGAACATGAGTTGTGTTACTTCACCTCCTTGACCTTGAGTAAAATGAAGGAGTTAGACTAGATTAGACGTAGAAAACTGGAGGCTCGGAGATTATCTAAAACTTTTCAGGTGTGTTTTCTTTAGCTTCTACACTGTGGTGAACTGAACAGCATTAATTTAAAGGGACTTGTTGCCAGTGTTTAAATGTGGAAATTTCACATACAATTTTGGGTTTCTAGCTCATCTTTAGAAATTAGCAGATCTGACAACCAGGTCTGTATTCCCACATGGCATCAATGATCTGGAGTTGCATGGTGGCCATCCCATTACATGAGCCATCACATTAGTTTCCCATATTCTCTACTTCTATCTGTATGTTTTCTGTCCTGTGTAGAAACCTTAAGAGGAAAGTTAGTTCATTTTTTAATGCTTACTGTATGTTAAACACTATTTTATGGCATGGCAATCCATAGACAAACCAAACTGTCAAAACCTCTAAACTCATGGTGAGCTATAAATAGCCATCCACATCTCCATCAACAAAATAAGGGGAGAAAGTTAGACCAAAAATGCCATGTATTCTAGGGAAAATGGGAGAAAGCATGTTTTCTTGTGGACATAAAAAAAATTCCTGCATATTTAATAGGCCGAGCATGTCTGTGTCAAAATTATCCTGCCTCCTTCACTTGCTTGCTTCACATAATAGATCATATCCTTTTTATGATTCAGTGGATTCATGGATGAAATTATCTGAGTGTTTTAAAAAATGCCAGTAGGCGGAGAGACTGACACAGGTTACTGAATGTTAGATTTTCTTACCTCTGTCCAAACCGTTAGATTTTCCCATTTAGCCAAGATCTTGGGATACAACTCAGGCTGAAATAAACATCTCTGTTGACAGTCTTCTCTGTTGACAGCCTCCTTCCATAATAGCCTGAACCCTCTTAAGCTCTGGCTGAGAATCTCATCACCCTGATCCATGTGACAGACAGGGCTGTGCACGAGAAGAATCTTGAATGGCACTGTCTCCCCTCTTCTAACCTAGTAGTTTACATTTCCATGTGGTTTACTACAGAGTGATAGTAACCAACATCTTTAGCCTGATGAATCCTGTTAGGCGTGGATTTTGATCTCATGATCTAAATGCTTCGCTTCTGCAAATAAGCCCTTTTATAGGCATAGGTGTTTGACAGTGTGGCTTCATCTGTGTTAAGCAAAGTGATTCATCGTTTTGCTTTTAGATTTATCATGGTCATAGGCTTTAAGAATCTGGGCTGGCTCCTGTCAGCCATTGTGCTTACTGGATTGCGTCGTAGGCAACTGACCCATTTCTTCAGTCCTGGCTGAAAAGGTCATCTTGCTACCTACTAAGAAAACTACACTGCTCCCATCTGGTGGTAGTTATCTCAAATTGCAGCAGCTAAAAGAATTGCCTTGTCCTTCAGTGGTGTCAAGCATCACTAAGCTGTAGGAAATACCTATTCCCACCTTTTGTTTCACAACACTGTCCACTGTTTCCTTATTACCTAAAGGGTATCACATGGTTTTTCTAGGAACGTGAACCACAGTGCCAGCTTCCGCTCATAACTAGCCATAGGACTCCTAAGTCTCACTTGGTTTTTCCACACATAAAGCAAAACACTTGGACTTAATGCTCTCTAGGAGTACTACTCTTGCGAAGTCTGTAATTCTGTGATTTTTTTTAAAAAGTTCGAAACATCAATGAAATGAATCCCACTTACAGTATTTACAAAACAATTATGAACATATGTGGAAATTTTGTAATTTACACTATCATTTACTTCTTCTTCAATTCTAATTAATTATAAGATAACATCATGGATTTAATAACTTTGGTGGGGGTGGAGAATAAAAAGATAAATGCCACTGCATTAAATGCACATGTTTATTACAAGACATTCTGGAACCCTAAAAAGCAAATTGTAAAAAATATACATTTCAGAATTGAAGTGTGTGTGTGTGTGTGTGTGTGTGTGTGTGTGTGTTTAAAAAACTTCTGAGTGTCAATGCTACTTTTGAAAATGGAAAATGTTATTGAGGTACAAAGATTAGAGAGATGACAGTTAAAGATTGCATGGTAAATTTTAGTGTTTATTTGAATACCGAGGAACATTGTAAAAGGAAATATACAAACATGCAGTCTCTGGTATCATTACCACAGTCCACATTTGGAACTGAAGCCCATTAAATTTTTTTTTACAAAATTATGTGTATATTTTATGAAGACATGCAATAGTGTTTTTTTGTTTTGTTTTGTTTTTTTATTTTTTTATTTTTTATTTTTTATTTTTTTGAGACGGAGTTTCGCTCTTGTTACCCAGGCTGGAGGGCAATGGCGCAATCTCGGCTCACCACAACCTCCGCCTCCTGGGCTCAGGCAATTCTCCTGCCTCAGCCTCCTGAGTAGCTGGGATTACAGGCACGCGCCACCACGCCCAGCTAGTTTTTTTGTATTTTTAGTAGAGACGGGGTTTCACCATGTTGACCAGGATGGTCTCGATCTCTTGACCTCGTGATCCACCCGCCTCGGCCTCCCAAAGTGCTGGGATTACAAGCTTGAGCCACCGCGCCCGGCCGCAATAGTGTTTTGTGATTAAGTCTTGTTATGGTTGCAAGGAACAAAAATCTGCTCTAGCTAACTTGAAAAGAATAACTATGTAAAGATACAGTAGGAAATGCCATGGACTTCAACAGACAGGTACTGGAGTGCCGCTGAGCCTTAGGGGAATTAAAAGGGCATAATCAGGACCCAAGTCTTTATTTCTCAGAGGCCAGAGATCTCTATAATGGCTGTTAAAGATATTGATCTGTATCAATTTTCCATGTGGCTTCTAGCCCAGTACTACATCATAACCTCAACTCAAATTCCCATACTGAAGACTTCCCTCTGTGTTCAACTCTATACAATTTACAATTAGTGACCACCTCTGTGCGAGAATAGCATAGTGATTATTATTATTATTTATTATTATTATTTTGCTGCACAGGGTCAGTGGACAGGATATTCAAGCTAAATGATGACAATGTATAAGGCAGGCAGATCAACTGAGTCTCCAGTGTAACTGCTCCTTATTCCAAAGCCTTCAACTTTGACAGCTTTGCCTCACCTTTTCTATCTAACTCCTCTCACCAGTGGCATTGAAGACCCCATACAGTGCTTTGGGAGTGAGGTTGAGATTAGGGTTCTAAGAGTTTGGGGAATGCCATGGTACAGCAAATTTAGAGCATGTGAGAAATGCCTATAGACTTATATAAATTTCTTTTTTTTTTTTTTTGAGACAGGGTCTCTTTCACCCAGGCTGGAGTGCAGTGGCGCAGTCACAGCTCCCTGCAACCTCTGCCTCCCAGGCTTACGCGGTCCTCCCACCGCAACCTCCCAAGTAGCTGGGACCACAGGTGCACGCTACCATGCCTAGCTGATTTTTGTATTTTTTGTAGAGACAGGGTTTCACCATGTTGCCAAGGCTGGTCTTGAACTCCTGAGCTCAAACGATCTGCCTGCCTTGGCCTCCCAAAGTTCTGGGATTACAGGCATAAGCCACCATACCTGGCTTATAAATTTCTAGTAATGAATCGTAAACTGTCTTTTAGAGAAAGGTCAGTGTGAACGATAAAAAGTCTCCCCAGGCCGGGTGCGGTGGCTCACGCCTATGATCCCAGCACTTTGGGAGGCCGAGGCAGGTGGATCATGAGGTCAAGAGATCGAGACCATCCTGGTCAACATGGTGAAACCCCGTCTCTATTAAAAATAGAAAAATTAGCTGGGCATGGTGGTGAGTGCCTGTAGTCCCAGCTACTCGGGAGGCTGAGGCAGGAGAATTGCTTGAACCCAGGAGGCGGAGGTTGCGGTGAGCCGAGATCGCGCCATTGCACTCCAGCCTGGGTAACAAGAGTGAAACACTGTCTCAAAAGAAAAAAAAAAAAGTCTCCCCAATAATTGTGTCATACTTGCCTAGTGTCTGCTACGTGGAATAGCACTTTCTTACCCATACCATGTATCTTTTCAATAGCTCAGGAGGTAGAGAGGACAGGAGGAATCTTTAGGTCTGATTTTAGATTTGAATTGAGTAATAGGATGAGAAGAAAAGAAGAGGAGACTCTTTAAATTAATTGACAACTATTTATAATAGCAATTAGTGAAATAGTTTCCTAGCCTCTCTGCTATGAGGGAAAGTGTGCGGCACTTAGGTTTTTAAAAATGTTTTTGGTTTGAATCAGATCTCTTTGAGCCCCTGTATTTTTCAGCTGGTAATTGTTTTAAAAGGAAAAATAACACAAAATCTCACAGACTTGTGGTAAGAATTAAACAAGAGCATCAAACCTACGACAAGGCCAGGTACCGTGGCTCATGCTTGTAATCCCAGCACTGTGGTAGGCCAAGGTGGGAGCCCAAGAGTTCAAGACCAGCCTGGGCAACATAGCGAAACCACTTCTCTACAAAAAAGTACAAAAATTATCCAGGAGTGGTGGTGTACACCTGTAGACCCAGCTACTTGGGAGGCCAAGGTGGGAGGACTGATTGAGCCCAAGAGGTCAAGGCTGCAGTGAGCTGTGATCATGCCACTTCATGCCAGGCTAGGCCACAGAGGGAAACCCTGTCAAAAAAAAAAAAAAAGAAAATGTACCTAGGACAGTGGTTGTAATGTAATTGGGGGTTTTCTCCCCCCATTTATCTCTTTATTTGTAGGTTATTTGGAAAATAATTACTATTCTTTTGTTATCCTGAGATAGGGGTTTGAGAACAGTTTCTCTGACTCTTGCCACCCACTCCCACAAGTAATATCTCTGAGTTCTGAGAATCTAAAAATGTGTTCTACTACAGGCTAGCCCTAAAAGCTGGCTGGCAGTGGAATCAGTACCATTAGCAGTGACAGTGGCAACCTGCAGCCTCCACCATCATCTGACTGACGTTTTAAACATTGACTCAAAAGAGCTTGTGTGTGTTTCTCTCACAGGTGGATTTGCTATTGTATTTCTGGTGAGGACAAGCAATGGGATGAAATGTGCCTTGAAACGCATGTTTGTCAACAATGAGCATGATCTCCAGGTGTGCAAGAGAGAGATCCAGATAATGGTAAGGCTGCCCCTTGGACTTGGGACTGTTTAAAATGGGGGCAGACACTGTACCTTCTCCTAAGAAAGCCAAGCAAGCCTTGTTCCCTTCCCTGAGATGGCGGAGAGGCCTCTGGACAAGCTGGGACTGAGCAGCCATGGGATGTAGGACACCACCCTTGCCTTGGTCACTCTCAGCTGGAGGGCAGAGAAGAAAGGAACATAGTGAGAGAACTGACCAGCTTTTAGGTCAGAAATATCATTTGGGGCATTGGGAAAAGCTTATTTAACAACATGGCTCCCAGAAATTAACTGTGGTATTTAATCCAGAAAGCCTAACTTTCCAGCGAGCCTCCTCTTCTGGTCCTGTCTCTCTCAATACCAATCCCCAGTCTCAGTTCAACCCTCCTGAACCCTTGAACATTCCTGGGAACATATCCTTATACAACTTAATATTTTTACATGTAGTTTTTTCGACCTGGAATGCTTTCCCCCTTTTTTGGCCTAGAAACTTAGACCAAAACCTAGAAACCTCATATATACTTTATGAAGCTATTTATAGAAGTCCAAGTACAGGCAAAATTATCTATAGAAATCAGAAAGTGGTTATTTAGGGGTGGGAAATTGGCTAGAAAGGGGTATACGGGGACTTTCTAGGCCATGGAAATGTTCTGTGTGTTGTTTTAGGCAGTGGTTACGCAGGGTATATATGTGTCAAAACTCAAACACCTTAAAATCTCTGCATTTTATTATGCTAACTAGACTTCAATTGTTAAAACATACTCATTTTTCAAGATGCAGATTTATATATTGAAAGAAAGAGACCCTATGTGTTAGCTATACACGCTTAAATATGTATGGAGGAAATAATTTAATGTCTTTAGAACGGTGAGTGGGTTTAGAAGATAAACAAGTTGTTAGAGTAGCATCTTTCTTTTTCCTTTGCTTGACATTATACATAGTAAGAAAATTTAAATATATAGTCTTTTATTCCTTTGTGCTTCCACAGTGCTTTTGTTTTATACCAATTATATTGGTTAACCTGTTATGTTGTAAGCAGTTCTGCTATCAGGAAGTAAGTTATTTAAAATTAGAAGTTGTATGCTGCAACACACTGCTTGACATGAAGTAAATGCTTAATGAACTTTAGAAGAAATGTGCATTTGAATAATGGTAGTAGCAGATATATATGTTCACCTAGAGATGGTGATTCCTTTTATGTCCTGGATTTTTATGCTTTTTAAAGAGCAGAAAGAGATCCAAAAATGGAGAGGTGGCATTGTAGGTATTCCACCAGGCTCCGCTTGCCCCTGTTCACCCTATGTAGAGTCAACTTTTCAGTGGCTGCTTAGAGTAACTAGTTAGGCTGCAGTTGGTCTACTGAAAGTACTCAGAATGTTAGCCTGGCACTACTCTACATTTTAGAAAGCCAAAACTATTTGGGAAGGAACTGTCAGCATTACACAACAAACCAGCCAACTCCCAAGACACACATATATATACACACAGTCAAGATCACGTGGGCCTGTCAGTAAGGCACCAACGCCTTCCACTCCCCTGCACAAAGCTCCAGGTTCCTGTTCTTGCTGTATCTTCCTTTATACACGCAGTGAGTTTTCTGGGTGCTTCTCATTATTTGTCTTCCTCCCTCCTTGCGCCATGCTTGTTCAGCTCTCACACACTTTATTTCCTGCCTTTACTTCTGCCGTTTCCTCTATCTGGAATGCCCTTCTTGCTCTTTTTCTTGTGTTACAAAAGCAATCCCATAATTTCACTTTCTCCTCATTTAAAAACACAATGAGAGCGAGAGAGCAGTGCGCTAGGCAGGCATTGTAGTGGAGGAACTAAGAAGCCCAGGCCCATGAGGAGCTCACAAATTAATGGGCCTTAAATCACACAGGTTCAAGTTCTGGCCCAGGCCTGTATTAGCTGTGAGAGTTTTGTTTTTAGTTTATATTCTTTCAAAGCTTAAATATTCAAATAGGTGAACTAAGCTTGTTACAAAAAACATCAAGCAGTTCCCTGAGGGGACCTCCTATGCCATCACAAGGTCCCAGAGGCAACCACTTTAGGTGATTCTTTTGATGTATTTCTAAATAACATGCTAATATTGGTAGTTCTTGATTTTTCTTCCATTTTAGACATTATCTCCTATGGGAAGTATAGATGTAACTGTCACATATCCACTGCTTGTCTCTCTCCCCAAATACTTGCAGTATTCTCATCTTCCATTCTTCCAAAACGCCAGCCGAGTTTGGCTATGTGCTGTTTATATGAGTATTAGTTTTTGCATTATTATGTAAGAAAACTATTTCAACTGAGTCTCCTGGTGGACCATGATTCTTATGCCTTTCCTATATAACTTTGCTTTCACTAGAATTGATAATTGTCTTGTTTTCCCTCTCTTGGTCTGAGTTTTCTTTGTGCTTTTAAACAGTTTAATTCCCAATTTTCCTTAAGTTGTGTAATCATTTTTTAAAATTTTTAGACACATTTAATGGTGTCTGTTTTACCGTCTTCAGGATTTCTCCCTTGGTCTTCTGACTAAGGAATCTGGCTGGTTGTTCTCTAAGCCTAATTTACAGTTTAATCTTGAAATCTCCTGGGCATTTCCTCTGCTTCTCTTTTTTGTTAGTACCCCTGATTCATCTTTCGGATAACTTCCTCATTTTGTTGGAGCTGATCCTCCAGTATCTTTTTTTTTTTTTTGAGATGGGGTCTCACTTAGTTACCCAAGCTGGAGTGTAGTGGCACAATTATAGCCCACTGCAGCCATCTGTGGTCTATAGACCATCTCCTGGTCTCGAGCAATTCTCCTGCCTCAGATTCCTGAGTAGCTGAGACTATAGGCACATGCCACCAGACCCAGCTAAGTAGAGATAAGGTCTTGCTATGTTGCCCAGGCAGGTCTCACACTCTTGAGCTCAAGTGATCCTCCCATCTCAGCCTCCCGAAGTGCTGGGATTACAGGCATGAGCCACTATGCCCGGCCTCAGTAGCTTTTTGATACATAATAGATACATTTTTTAGAACTTTCAGGTCTAGAAGTATCTTTATGTTATATTCATACATCATAGTTTGAGTAGAAAATTCCAAGTTGGAAATAATTTCATTTAGATTATTTAAAGCACTGCTCTACTATGTTTTAGCTTTCAGTGTTGCTCTTGGGAAATCCTAAGTCATTCTAAGGCCTAGTCCTTTGAGAGTGGCCCATATTGTCTACCTAGAAATTTACAAATTTTCTCTTCGTTTTTAGTGTTCTGAATTTTCTTGATACACCTTGGTTTATGCATTTATTATCTTAGGTGTTTGGTGGTCCCTTTTCATCTAGAAATTCATATCCTTGCATTCTGGGGAACTTTTTAGTTTCATTTTTCCCCCTTTTCTGAAATTCCTATAATTTGGATGTTGGTTTTCCTGAATTGATTTTTTAATTTTCTTGATTTCTCCCTTCTGTTTTTTATTTCTTTGTCATTTTGCTCCACATTCCACATTTCCTCAGCTCTATATTCCAACCATCCTGTTTAATTTTATTTCCCAGACTTTTAAATCTCTAAGATCTTTTTTGTTTTAGACACATTTAATGGTGCCTGTTTTATTTTTAATTTCGATGAAGTCCAGTTTATCAATTGTTCTTTTTATGGATTGTGCTTTTGGTGTCGAACCTAAGAAATCTTTGTGTAGCCCTTAGTTCTGAAGATTTTTTTTAAGTTTTATAGTTTTACATTTAATCCTGTGATCAATTTTTAGTGTGTGTGTGTGTTTGTTTTTGAGATGGAGTTTCCTTGCCCTGTTGCCCAGGCTGGAATGCAGTGGCGCAATCTCAGCTCACTGTAACTTCTGCCTCCTGGGTTCAAGCGATCCTCCTGAGTAGCTGGGATTACAGGCACACGCAACTATGCCTGGCTAATTTTTGTATTTTTAGTAGAGACGGGGTTTCACTATGTTGGTCAGGCTGGTCCTAAACTCCTGACCTCAAGTGATCTTCCTGCCTGAGCCTCCCAAAGTGCTGGGATTACAGGCTTGAGCCACTATCCCTGGCCTTTTTGACTTAATTTTTACATAAGATATGAGATTTAGGTTGCAGTTTATTTTTCCCTTATGGTTATGATTGCCCTTAGCCTCATTTATTGAAAAGACTGTCTTACCTCCATTGAATATCTTTGTTAAAAATCAGTTGAACTTAATTGTGAGGGTCCATTTCCAGGCCTTTCTCTGGTCTCTTCCATTAATCTATGTACCTATCCTTCAGCCTTGATTACTATAGCTATATATGTTTTTAGAATGAACTGAATCCTCCCACTTTTTTTTTTTTTTTAAGTTCTTACTGTTTTAAATCTGAAGTCCGATGTGATGTTTTTAAGCCCACCTTAAGTCTCAGACTTCTGTTATATGGAAACCATAACCCCAGCCCTGCCTCTCTCAGTGATTGTAAGAATTGTGAAGGGAATTAGAAGATGTACCATGCTGTCTAATATGCTGAGAGTTGTGTGTTGATACTCAAAGAACCGGATTCCTCTCTGTACTTTCAGCGAAGGAAGGACAGGCATGTTGCATCCAAATGCAAAGAGAACTGTTTGCGATTTCACTGAGTGGTTTCAGGTTTTATTTTGATAAATGCTGTCCACTGTGTGCTGGAGTCTGGTGTGAGTTCTTTGATCTAGCTGGGATGTGTGCTCTGATACAGTCAAAGAGATCTGCCTTCTGATGGACAGTTGGAAGGTGGGTTTTGGACTTCTGATCCCTTTGCCTGAAAGCAGGAGAAGATTAATTATCTTCAGACCTAAAGGGGTAAGAACAGTGATAGGAAATAGCTAAAGCTCTAGATGTGTCAAGGCTATTTCGTGTTCACATCTCCTGGCTCAGATGGATTACATCCTCATTGAGCTTAATAATAAGGACACTAAGCTGCCACCAGTGAAGTTTGAGGATTTGCTTCAAACAGAAGAGATCAGATGATTCAAAGCAGACAAATGTTTTCTTATTCCACAAAGGGTAGAAGATAGATCCTGTACGGTAGGA